CGTGGGGTGCCGCGATCCACGCGCGCTCCCAGGGGCGCTGCACGGGTGCCGATGTTCCGCGCGTGCTCCCCGTGCGTGTTTCAGCGGTGTCCGCGATCCATGCGTGCTCCCCGTGGGTGCCGGTGCTCCACGCGTGCTCCCCGTGGGCGCTGCGTGTGGGTGCCGGTGCTCCGTGCGTGCTCTCCGTGGGCGCTGCACGGGTGCCTGCGTTCCCACAGGTGTTGCGTGGGTGCCCGCACTCCATGCCTGCTCCCATGGGCATTGCAGGGGCGAGCACACTCCTGTGGGTGCTGCACGGGTGCCGGTGCTCCCGTGGGCGTTGCACAGCAGCTGGGGGTCTGCCGGTGCCGGATCCTGCGGGGGCCTGGATTTCCTCCCCGGGGCAGCAGCCCGTGCAGGCAGCAGCAGAGCACAGGCCAGGGCTCGCCTTGGAGTTTTACTGAAACTTCACCGTTTCAGCAAATATCATTGGAGAAATTAATTTTTTCCCTGTGCAAAGCACATAATTGCCATCGGACGATTCTCCTGCTTCTCCAGCACTGGCTCTCACAGCCCAGCTGAATTTGGTGGCGGGTCCGGGCTGCGCCATCCCAAAAACCTGCTGGGAGGCTGTGGGCTGTCCGCGGCTGAGCTCTGTACTTATCCCATTAGGGCGCACAGCAGCCTCCCATTAAGGTTTCCTGGGGTGGTTTACCCGCCTGGCCGAGCTGGGATGTGAGGTCCATGCCGGGACGTAGGCGGTCAGCGCCAGCCCTTTGTTGCGGCGTCACCGGAGAGCGCGTCTGGCCGCCTCGGCACGCATCCTGCTGCCACGCCGATCAGCTCTTCTTCCGGAGCTGTTCCTGCCTCGTTGGCGCTGGAGCTGGGCTTTAACCCTCACTGGAGCTGTCGGGGTGCAGCCAAGTCCCCCATCACAGCACCAGGGATGGTCTTGGAGGCCCGCAGATGATGTCATCCAGATGACCTCATGTGGATGACCTCATTCAGATGACATGTAGACGACGTTGCCTCCAGTGCACTGGCAGAGGTGCCCCCGGTCAGGCTAGTGCCTGCTGCAGTGCCAAGCTGGGACAAGGTGCCAGTGGCTGGGCAGTGGGCTGCGGTCCTCACTGGGGACCTTGCCGGGGTCTTCCCTGGGGACCCTGGTGGGGCCACCAACAGGGACCTCACCGGGGTCCTCAGTGGGCACCCTGCCAAGGTTCTTGCTGGGGACCTCACTGGGGTCTTCGTTGGGGACCTGGCTGGGGCCATCACTTGGCTCCTTGGTGGGGTCATCACTGGGGACCTCACTGGGGTCATCATTAGGGACTCAGCTGGGGACATCACCAGAGTCCTTGCCATCACTCAGTGTGCTGCCCCCAAAACCAGGGGCTGTGCCCCCCCCTTCCCTCTGGGCCCCTCCAGCCACGTGCTGCAGCCCCCCAGGACCCCCTGACCCTTCCTCTCTCCCGCAGGTCCCCGGGCGGAGGCGCTGCCCCAACGGTGACGGCCATGCCCTAGGGGAGACCCACCATGAGCCAAAGCGGGGCCTCACGCCTGACCGGCTCC